CCATTGGCTGAATGACTGACCATTGGCTGACTGACTGACCCATAGCTGACAGACCGACCCATGGGCAGATGGACCACAACCCGATGAGTGCAACCGTCTTGTTGTCAGGATCTTTTCCAAAACAAAACGCCCAGCTTGTCCACTCTGAGACAAATCGGCAAGCCCGATGCTGGAAGGAGTGGCTGCGCTTAAACCCCACTTGACGAGAAGAGCCAACATGCTGAACCGCCTGCTTGGCCTTGCATACTGAAAGACGGCCTGAAGGAGCGCCTGAAACATAGCCTAAGAAGGCCCGGTCCGTGAGCTGGCCTTGTTGATGCCATGCCTGTGCTCAATGACAATGGTGGATTACAGGACGCAGGGCAGATCCACCGCCTGGTGGTGTGTGTCATGCGGGGTTATTCAGGTCAGCGCAGACAGGGGTATGGTGTAAGGAGGGAGAGGTTGGGGAGAGAGAGGCACGGCATTGCATAACAGAATATGTGGCAAGAAGTAGGCATGGACAGATTTCCAGACGTTCGAGTCATATTGAAGGGTGCTTTTTTTCCAAAAATGATCGACCCGAACATGATGACATGTCGGTGCTGTTTGACAAAATTTGTCAAGGTGTATTTGGACCGAATATGTTCTACGGCTATTTCTGGGTTTGACTCGGGACGCGCTTGCAGGTTGGAGTTTTAGGTCAGACTTCATGGAGAATGAGGTCATACTCCCTCCTTATACTTGTTTCACTATATCGGTATGCCTTTGCTTTGAATTATTATAAACGTCGTTGAATGTCGCCGTATGCCCTGCTCTCATCGCGGATTTGACGACATATTTGTGGGCACATTAGCATTAGGGTTGGCTGACTGGCCTTTGAGCCCATTGTTTCCACTGTTTATTAGGGTAAATTTACCGTTTCATCAGCATACAACTATGATTAAGCTTTTGAATGAACAAATTGGCCAGATTTTTTGGTGGTGAGAGCAGCAAGTGAGGGTAAAAAGGATGGCTCATAATGGTGCTGACATGCACGGACAAGGGTGAATAGCAAGCACACATGCGCTGCTGTAGGCGCCCATCCTTTTCCATGTAATCGACAGTCCTGGCCAGTATGGCACGCCTTTTACCCTCAATGCCCCCTTTAACTTCGTCATGAAGCCTGCAGCCAAGAACATGGGGAGAGAGCCTTACGTTTGTGTTGGGTCGTTCTCAGCTTATTCTCAGAGTACTCTCAGCTCACTCTAAGGTCACACTCAGGTCGTCTAAGGTCACTCTCAGGTCACTTTAAGGTCAGTCTTATGTCAGTTTTAGGTTAGCCTTAGGTCAATTTTTAGGTTAGGGTTAGTTTTAGGCTCAGGTCAGTTTCAGGTCTGTTTTAGGTTAGAGTATGTCATTTTGGGTCAGTCTCAGGTCAGTCTCAATTTAGTTTCAGATCAGTCTCGAGTCAATTTCATGTCAGACAGATGTCACTTTCATGTCAGTTCTAGGTAGAATCACGTCAATCTGAGGTCAGTCTGAGTCAGTCTTGGGTCCGTCTCGGGTCAGCCTTGGGTCAATCTTATGTCAGTTTCAGGTCGGTCTTAGGTCAGATCGGGTTAATTTCAGGTCATTCTTAGGTCCGTCTCAAGTAGTTCTGGGGTCAGTCTCAAGTCAGTCTTCGGTCAACCTCGGGGTCAGCCTCGGGTCAGCCTTGGGTCAGCCTCAGGTCAGCCTCGGGTCAGTCTCGGATCAGCCTCGGGTCAGCCTCGGGTCAGCCTCAGATCCGTCTCAGGTCATTCTTGACTCAGGTCCGTCTTAGCTTTGTCTAAGGTCAGTCTTTGGTTTGTTTTTGGTCAGTCTCAGGTCAATCTCAGGTCAGTCTCACGTCAGTCTCAAGTCATTCGTGGATGCGAGTGCACTGCAAACATGATGTGCTGTCCTCAATCTCCCACCCTACCCTTTTTCCTCCCCCACCCTTCCTACCATTAACGCTTAAACCCAAGAAGGTCATATTCAGCTGGCTCAATGCCAAGATTGGTACCCTTAGAACAAGTTTACTGGCTCTCATGAGAAGTTAGGTGCATTTTGAGGCAGTGGGCTCTGCCTCTTCTTAGACTCTAGATTTCTTGCCTCCCTGCCTTCTTTCCTACGCTCTCATTCATTGTTTGATTTGACTGCCATTCATCCTTCTTTGCATGCCCTTGTTTGGCAGGCGCAAGGTCAAGATCGCGACTATTTTCACCGTCTCCCTCTAGCCCTCTTGTCCGCACATCATCACATGTTCCAAGTAGTTTGCACTTAGAAAATATAATAAACACACGTTTATCATGTTTTAGCGGTTGGAGGCTAAGCTAGTAGTCACACCGCAAGGAGATGTTATGGTTAAAATTACAAAGAGTATCAATGAAGACCTGGTTCACCCCGGACTGAGCTCCATTCCACAACACAGTTGCATAAGATATTCTTTTATAACCGTCTGCAGTAAATCGTTTTCATGATATGTTTCCATCTGACATCGGCAGCAATTATTTAGAATCTGTAAAAATTGGTTGGCTTGGCATGATGCCAGCACTTTGATTGGGTATGAAGTGAGTGCGGGTATGAGAGGAGAGGCGGCATGTGAGTGGGGAGAGGGGTGGGGGGTTTTCAGAGGAATGGGGGTATGTGTCAAATGTTGTAGCCAATAGTGAGGCTTGTCATGTGGGGTACAGTTGTTAGAGTTAGGCTCGTGTACCCCAACCGACACAAACAATGCATCTATTTGTTCTTGACATGGTATCAGCTAGGTTAGGATCCTGTGGGATCCCGTTCCTCTCGTTCACGTCCGTAGCGCCCGAGCCTGTCCCGTACCCTAGTATCCGTTACGCCCATACTATCCCCTAGCGCCTATTGTGCTCGTCTCTCCCGTGCCCTAGCGCCCACTGCGCCTGCGTGCGCCCTGCCCGTCCGTCGCGCCCTGTGCGCCCTGCCCGTCCATCGCATCCCCCTGCGCCCTACCCGTCTGTGGCGCCCCGTGCGCCCTGGCCGTCCGTCGCGTCTCCCTGCACCCTGCCCGTCCGTCGCGCCCCGTGCGCCGTGCCCGTCCGTCGTGCCCTGTGCGCCCTGCCCGTCCATAGCGTCCCCCTACGCCCTGCCCGTCTGTCTCGTCCGTCGTGCTCCCTCCCCTTTCCGTCTCATCCGTCGCGCTCCCCCCTCCCCCCCCACCCCCCCCCCCCCCCCCGTCTGTCCCGTCCGTCGCGCTGTGTGCGCCCAGCCCGTCACGTCGCCAGCGCCGCGCCAGCCCGTCCCGCCGCGCCGCGCTTGCCCGTCCTGCTAGCGCCGCGCTCGTCCGTCCCGCCAGCACTGCGCCAGTCTGTCCCGCTAGCGCCGCGCCCGTCCGTCCCGCCAGCACTGCGCCAGCCCGTCCGGCCGCACTGCGCCAGCCCGTCCCGCCGTGCCGCGCCGGCCTGTCCCAGCGCACCGCAATGTTCCGTCCGTCCCGTCCAGCCGGGGGGAGCCCGTCGCCTCGCGCTGCCTATCCTGCTTATTGCGCCCTCCCTGCAGTGCTGTCTACCCTCCCTGCGCCTACCGCGTTCAGACAGGTTCTCGCCGAGGCCTCCTCTGTGGCCGCAGCCACCCACCGGGTCAGTGCTTTGCTCAGCTTACTGACAAAGTTCGTTCGGCCTACGGGGTTGGCGGCCCTGCCCCTCATTGGCTTCCCCTTGTCCAGCAGCACGGTCCCGCTCTGTGGGGCATGTCTGCGTCTCAGCTGGTATATCTCTTAGGAACTCCTCATGCTATGTATGCTGTTGTTGACTCTAGTGTTTCTGACTCTGTTTACTCAGGTATTGTTAGCTTATGTGCTACTGTTGCTGAGGTCCCTATTGCTAGTGTATGTATTTGTATAGACAATAGTCCAGGGGCTGCTTCGGATGACACTTCACTGTCATTCACTCTGGACTCTGGAGCCTCGCAGTGTTTCTTCCACGACCACACGATGCTTACTCTGCTTTCTGCGCCGGTCTGTGTAGCACAGGCTGATCTCACTTCGGGACTAGTCACTGCTCGATTCACTACTACGCTTCCGTGCCCCGCTCTTCCCTCAAGTTTCCTGACGGGTTTCCACGTCCCCTTGTTCTCGAGGAACTTGGTGGGTGTGAGGCCACTCGTGAGTAGTCAGGTGGGTGTTTGGATTGAGCCTTGTTGTAAGACTGCAGTTTGTGTAGACGGTGACACGTACAAGCCTCTGGCCAACTTTACTGCTGAGCTGGGCTCCGGTCTCTACACACTTCACACTGGTCCCAGAGGGCAGCAGCAGCAGCAGCCGCAGCAGCAGCAGCAGCTGCCGCAGCAGCAGCTGCAGCAGCAGCAGCTACTGCCCCCGACCCCTGCCACTGCCCCTCGCCAGGTCCCTGCGTCTCACCAGGTTGCCGCGTCTCACCAGGTAGCTGTGTCTGGTCAGGTTCCCGTGTCTGGTCCAGTTGCTGCGTCTTGCTCCTGCCGGTCGCTTGCCCACCCCACCGTTCTGTGGCACCACCGGATGGGGCACCCGTCCATTCCTCGCATGTGTGCTATGTCTCGTCAGCGTCTTGTCTTAGGCCTCTCGCCTATCTTGCCGTCGCTACCGCCTTCACTTGCACCACCTTGCGGTCTCTGCGTCGAGGGTCAGCTGCGCGCCACCCCTCACTCCTCCTCCCTTCGTTGAGACTCTCCACTTGGACGTCTGGGGCCCCGCCTCTCGCCTTGGCCCTGAGCGTGAGCGTTTCTTTTTTGTGGTCGTTGACGACTACTCTCGCTACACCACGGTGTTCCCCCTATCGAAGAAGTCTGAGGTGACTTCTACGCTGATCAGGTGGTTACTTACCACTGCGGACACTCGTGGTCGTCGTGTCAGCTGTCTTCACTCTGACCGCGGGGGTGAGTTTCGGTCAGACGTACTCGCTGGATTCTGTCGCGAGCAGGGCATCCGTCAGTCCTGGACGCTTCCAGAGTCCCCACAGCAGAATGGGGTTGCTGAGCGCCGCATAGGCTTGGTCATGGAGATCGCTCGTACCTCCATGACTCACGCCCGTGCCCCCCATTTTCTGTGGCCCTACGCGGTTCGGTACGCCGCTCACCAGCTGAACCTCTGGCCACGTGTCTCTCGGCCAGAGGCTTCACCGACCAGTCTTTGGACCGGGTCCCCTGGTGCTGCGTCGCGTTTTCGTGTCTGGGGTTGCTTGGCTCTTGTATGGGACACCTCCAAGGACAAGATCTCGTCTCGCGCCATTCCTTGTGTCTTCCTTGGTTTCCCAGAGGACTCCTCTGACTTCACCTTTTACCACCCTCCCCTTCACCGGTTCTTTGACTCCTGTGATGTCTGTTTTAACGAGTCTATCCCCTACTACGTCAGGTACCCCTGTCGAGGTCTCCCGGTTCCTCCTCCCCCTCTCCTCCTCGCTTTTGCTTCCCCTCCTGCTCCCCCAGTACAGCCCCCCCCCCCCCCCCTTGGTCCCGCCCCATCAGGTGTGTCTCACGCTACCCATCCCCCCTCGGTAGCCCCTCAGGTGCAGCCTCCTTCCCCGCAGTCCTCCTCACAGCCTACTGCAGACCCTGCGGGAGCCGGTGTTCGTGGCGAGGACCCTGGAGGTGCTAGCTCTAGAGGAGTTGGAGTTGGAGCTGAGAGCGTACCTGTGCGAGGTCTTGGTGTTGGGGGTGCTGGAATTGGAGCTGAGCCCGTGGCTGCAGGAGACTCTTGTCTTCAGGGAGCTGGTGTTGGTCGTGCTGTCCCTGGGGGTGCTACGACTAGGGGTGAGCCCTCTGCTGCACCTCGAGAGCGTGGAACTTGCCCTCTTACTTTTGGTGGTGTTGGCTCTGGGGGTGGTGCACTCCGTGCCTTGGCAGGTAGTCCTGGAGCTGCTACTGCCCCGGACACTGCTCAGCAGCCGCACCTCTACCCGTCCCGACACCAGGCCCGTCTTCGCCGTGCACGTGAGGAGCAGCTGGAGTTGGAGAGAGAGAGCCTGGAATTAGAGCAACAGCAGCGGCTACAAGAGCAGCAGCAGCGCGAGCAGCAGCAGCAACAGCAGCAGCAGCAGCAGCAGCAACAGCAGCAGCAACAGCACCAGCAGCAGCAGCAGCAGCAACAGCAGTAGCAACAACAGCAGCAGCAGCAGCAGCAACAGCAGCAGCAGCAGCAACAGCAACAGCAGCTGGAGGTGCAGCCGCAGTAGCAGGAGTAGCAGCAGCAGCCACCTCCTCCTCCTGTCTCTGGTCTTTGGACCCTCGGTCTCCCCTCTCCCTCTCCTTCCTCCTCCCCCTCTCCTCCCATCTCTGGTCCTCCGCTTCCTCCTCCTGACTCTTCCCCAGCTGTTTTCCCTCGTTCTCGGCCTCTGTCGTCTCCTCCTCTTTCTCAGACATGGCCCTTTCGTCACTCTCCTCGTGCTTGTCCCTTTTCTCTTGTTCCCGTTACTGACATTCGTACTGCCCTGTTTCGTTCCAGTCCACCTCGTTCGTCTTCGTCTCTACTTCCTTCTCCTCCAAAATCAGCCCTCACTATTTCCCACTCTACTCCTGTCACAGACTACTACCGCACGTACCGTCCTGTTCTCTCTCGTGTTCTCGCCTCTCTTGTTACCCACCCTCGTGCCTCTCTGTCCTCTGTCTCCGCACCTACTGCTGCAGTCAGAGTTTGCCTCTACTCGCCGCCTTGACTACGCCACCAGTCTTGTGGCTGCTCCTCCTACCAGTCCTCTGGCCGTCGGGGGTGAGTCTGCCCTTGGCTGTGACGCCCTAGAGGTCAGTTAATTTGAGCTAGAGTTCCCGGCCACCACTTCCCCTCATCTCTGTGCCATGCTCCTCGCCCCTGAGGGAGACCCTGACGCCCTTGACATACCGACTCCTCGCACTTACACTGAGGCAGTGTCAGGGCCTTGGGCCTCTCAGTGGAGAGCTGCCATAAACGCAAAGATGGCCTCCTACAGATCCACAGGCACCTACATCGACGAGGTTCCCCCCCACGGGAAGAACGTAGTCGATGGCATGTGGATCTTCAGGGTGAAGCGTTCACCAGGATCTCCTCCGGTCTTCAAGGCGCGCTACGTGGCTAGAGGTTTCAGTCAGCGCGAGGGAGTCGACTTCTTTCAGACCTTCATGCCTACCCTGAAGATGACTACTCTTCGGGTGTTACTGCATGTAGCAGCACAGAGAGACTACAAGTTACACTCTCTTGACTTCTCCACTGCCTTCCTTCAGGGTAGCCTACACGACGAGATCTGGTTATGTCGTCCCTCTGCCTTCACTAGCACTTTCCCTCCTGGGACCCAGTGGAGGCTGAGGCGACCGGTCTACGGTCTCAGTCATGCTCCTCGTCAGTGGCACGACACCCTTCGTTCTACCCTGTCTGACCTCGGTTTCCAGCCGTCTTCTGCCGACCCGTCGCTGTTCGTTCGTCGTGGCTCCACACCGTTCTTTGTGCTGGTCTACGTCGACGACCTGGTTTTCGCCACTGCTGACAGGGTTGCTTTGGCACACGTGCACTGACCTTGGTGAGCTGCGCCACTACCTTGGCCTGCAGATCACCAGGGACAGAGCTGCTCGCACCATTACACTCTCACAGTCACACATGGTGTAGCAGGTCCTTCAGCGGTTCGGGCTTTAGCACTCACCAATACAGCGCACACCTCTCGCTGTTGACCACAGACTCACTGGTCCCTTTCCTGACGAGCCGTTTGAGCCTAGTGGTCCTTACGCAGAGCTTGTGGGCTGCCTCATGTACCTGATGACTTGTACTCGTCCGGACCTCGCCTTCCCTCTCAGCATCCTTGCTCGTTTTGTAACGCCAGGGAGACACCGTCTTGTTTAGTGGACAGCAGCTGTGAGGGTGGCCAAGTACCTAGCAACAACATCAGGCGTGGGGCTGGTTCTTGGAGGGCAGCAGTCTGTCGTACTTACTGGTCACTATGACTCTTCTTACGCTGACGACGCTGAGACTCACAGGTCTACTCAGGGGTACTGCTTCAGTCTGGGTTCTGGAGCTGTTTCGTGGAGGTCCACGCGTTCCTCCTCGGTCTCGACCTCTACCGCTGAGGCTGAGATCTACGCTGGTGCCATGGCGGCATAGGAGCTGCGCTAATTGACCTTCTTGCTTGCCGACCTTGGTGAGCGGCCGAGCTCTGCACCGACCTTGTTCACTAACAACAAGGCGTCGATTCTGTTCTGTCGAGAGCTGTGACGGGAGAGCAGAGTGAAGCACATCAATGTCAGGTACTTTCTTCTGCGAGAGTTGCAGAGGCGTGGACAGGCTCGCTTTGAGTTTGTGGAGTCCGAGGCCAACACTGCAGACATCTTCACCAAGGCGCTTCCGCCTTGTGACCACCAGAGGTGTTGTGTGCAGTTAGGTCTTGTTGACACAGGTTCTCGTCTTGCGTAGACTTGAGTTCTCTGTTTGCTTTGCCTGTACGCTTTAGATATACCTCCGTAAACTGTTGGACTAGCCTTGTGGCTTCCCCTTCTGCTTGTGCTCAGACTGTGTGGTGACGTTGTGATCCACCCTGAGCTTTGTTTCTTGTGATTAGTCTTGTGGCCGTAGTGTGCTGGTTTTGTTAGACGCCCCTCACTTAGGCTATGGGGGTGTGTCAAATGTTGTAGCCAATAGTGAGGCTTGTCATATGGGGTAAAGTTGTTAGGGTTAGGTTCATGTACCCCAACCAACACAATCAATGCATCCATTCGTTCTTGACAGTATAAGAGGAGTGGGGGTATGAGAGGAGTGGGGCGTATGAAAGGAATGGTGTTTGTGAAAGAGCTGGGGGTTACGAAGCGTAGTGCAGGGCATGAGAGGAGAGGGGTCTGAAATAATTGGCAAGGTGATATTGGGGCATTGAGGGAATGAGGGTGTGAGAGGAATAGGGACTATGAGAGTAGTGGAGGGTATGAGATGTATTTCCAAAGGTTCAGTATGTTGGGTGGAAAAATAGATGAAATGTCACAAAGTGTACTTTGTTAGGTTAAGAGTGTAGTGCTTTACATGCATGATGTTTGAAAACTATTCTTTATCTCTAAAAATCTCACACTCACTCTACAAGTGAACCAGTTCCGTAATTTAGAAACAACGATGCATTCAACAGCTAAGAAATTTGGAAAGAAGGTGACAAGCACATGGTGGAGGTGGGTTGTGGATGTGGCATCCAGAAAAGTGAGGGGCTGCTGCCCTCGATCTTCCCTACCCTCACTGTTGTCACTGTTGCCTTCACTGGTGGGTTTTGTGACAGTGTGCGCTGCCTTTTCTCAGCCTTCACCATTTCCCCCTCTTCAACTTCAAGGAGCTCTCATTGCTCAATGATGGCAATTTATGTGATTTGCAATCACGTGAATGCTGCTGAATGGAAGTCTTCTTGCAGTAGGCCAAGACCCTTATATTTTACATTGCAGTTGCTGGATGTATGCACTTCTCTGTTGTAACTAGTTTCAGTTCAAGAAGTTCATTGATTTATGTAAAGCGAACCATCATTCATGCTCACTCAGCATGCAACAACTTGCCATAGAAGACTCGCATGAAAAGTGCACACAATGCGACCATCTCACACGCATCTTGCGAGCATCTCACACGCATCTTGCGACCACACACTAGTCAGGTTTGACATGAAGCTACACAAGCATTGCAATTGCATAAGCTGGACTGGACTGTCAACAGATGACCAAGGCCTGCATGGCAGAAATCAAGAAGGACTAATGATAATTGGATTGTTTTAGGCAATTTGACATGAGAAGAATGGTGCGTACAAGAGGCATGGGGCATACTCAAGAAGTGGGGGGTAGGAGAGGAGTGGGGGCCTGGGAGGGGAGTATAGCGTGAAAGGAGTGGATTGTATGATTGAAGTGAGGGGTGTGAGAGGAGTCAGAGGGATAAGAGGAGTGGATGGTTCAAAATGATCAATGGTTGTGAGAAGAATGGAAGGTATGAGAGGAGTAAAACTCGACTCGCGATTTGCTCATGCCTAGCAATAACTCGTCGACACCCCTCGAGAAAGATGCAACGAATGACAGAAGGCCCACCATGAGTAACTGATTGCATGCACTCAGTGCTTCAGGCCTGCCCAGCGCAAGAGTGGGTGAGTGAGGCAGGGGTAGGCACGTGCAGAAAAGGGTGAAGTGGTGAAAATGACAGGGCGGGAAAAGGAGACTGGAAAGGCAGTGCAGGGACTGGGAGAAGGGCGGTGACAGGACGTGACAAACATTATATGATTTACCACACTCGAAACAGACTCATCCATAAACATACAAGGCCTCAGCAAGAACATGGTATCTGGATGGGCGTCAGCAAGCACATGGGATCACAGCTCTAGTGTGGTCTTGTCACCAACCTGCCAGCACAACTCTGTGCAAGACATCGGAATTGGTTCCTTCAACGGACATTGCAATGTTATGGCAGAACGCAGACCTCCTTGGTGCACCTAATTCATCTCTAGCCTTCACCTCACGTCCCTCCTACCACTCTCATTCTCTCGTCTTCACCTGCCACTCCCTCTCTCGCTTTCACCTCCCTCCTGCCACTCCCTCTCTCCCTTTCATCTCCCTCCTGCCACTCACCTAGCCATTGGTCGTCCCACTCTTTTTGCTGTTGCTCCTGCCGGGGCATGTGAGCTTGTGGGAGGGCCAGTGCGCCTTTTGGCACTCTCTGCTGCAATACGCCACCTTGCCACACCCAGAGCAGTTTCTCAGCTTCACACCACCACCCTCCACCTTCCCGCACCCCACGGCACCACACACACGCTGCCTACAAGCAGCAGCACCTGAGGCTTCAGTAACTGAAACAGATGTAGCTGCATTGGTTAGTGCAGCTACAGTGGTTGGAATAGCAGGCGTGGAAGGGGCAGCAGGGGAGGCAGGGCGGTAGCACGGCTCCCCCAGCAGCATCTCTCGCAGACATGCCACCAGATTGACTCCCCCCGACCATGGCCTCAGATGAGCCGCCTCCTCCCCCATCTTGCCCTTCCACTTGCTGAAACCACCAAGCCCATCCCCCTGTTTCATGTCTTCTCGGAACCTGGGCAGCATGGAGCACTGGTGAACCTCACTGGCCTCTTCAACCCGTGCACTCACATCCTCCTTCCTTGCCTTCCTGCCACTACACGCCAGCCCGGCCCCCCCCATGCCAGAGGCGGGCAGCATTGCCACCGTGAATCAGGACTGCACCTCCTCCCACACAACCCCACTATCTTCTTCACCATCCCCACCCTTGCCTCCCCTCTTGCCTTTCCCACTAGCCCCACTCGCCGCCCTCCTCGCGCCTGCCTTCTCCTTGGCCCTAAAGGTACCCATGCTAGCCCTAGGATTCTGTCCGCCTTCCGTGCCGCT